ATTGTTTATTTAAAATATTACACATATTTGATGCTACTGAGGCAAATGCACATTTCTAAGTAAATATGTACGTGCATGGTATGTAGCCACTATTATTTTATGCATGCAGGTATTATTATGCTAGGCTGTTGCTTACACAAGTATTTGTTAAATAAATATGAAATTTTCACCTGACCGCACAAATCAAAATTATATGTATGTAGATACATTTAAATCGCATAATAAAATGAAAGCAATGAATCCGCGCTTTAGTTAAATACACGTAAAATTGGCCACTAAAATTTGTGGTAAACGCAAACACTAAACGGATTATATGAATAAATACATATTAGATATAAAACACATACAGATATATATATATATGATATATTTAAGAATACTGCACTGGTTTTATGTCACACGCTAGGGATAATGAGTACTAGTGAGGCATGTTGAGATGGAGCGAATATTTTTCATAGGCAGACAGTGAGAAAAAAGTTTTAAATTTAAAGAATTAAAAAAAATTACAGATTCCACAATCAGAATCGGTTTTTGAAAAACTGACTTCTTTAATCCTTGTATTTGAAATGAATGGAATACAAACACTATGTTAGGAAAAATTTATAGTTAACATGCTTTGGTCACATCATGACCCCATAGTTGGCGGTTGTATGAAAATACATACATATTATTTTGATAATAAAAAAAAAGGGGACAAACGAAGAAAGGTTTCAAAATACACGAAAAAATCAATATACTTACGAAACTAGATGTCAAATATAGTAAAACTGCATTTTATTTAAACAGTTCAGTGAAATGCGGAATAAAAATATGGGACCAAATGAAAGGGAAAATTCTTTAGTATTGAAAACAATTCATTTTTTTTGCTTTAGAAGGACGAACAATAATTTAAAATGCACTTAAAACATTTTTATATCTTAGATGAAAAATTTAGAAGGACAAAATTATAAATAAGATGTTTGCTTAATTATAGGGTATTGTGCCCCAGTTGCGCGAGTATATCGATTTTTTTGTGTAAAATGTACTCTCGTACTGTAAAGTTGTTGTGATCGTGTTTGTGCCACGATTTATAAAACAAACTGGTTTATTACACAGATTAGACTTCATATAGGCTAACTTCTCGCGAGGCTTAAGGTGATTTAAATCTACCTTTGGAGCTTTAAACCAGTACGAACCAAGAATATGGAGCTCTGTTGACCACCCATCTGCGTAACTGCGGGTGTGGTGTTCCTATAATTATACTTACGGAGATTAACACACCGACGATACCCCCATGCACCTCCTAACAACCCTTCTCACCCATATCGCTATACCCTCCGACATCCCAGCCACACCAGAAGGCAAGGGAACACCGACACGTGCCACCCTTAAAGCGGCATCGGCGACATCGTTCCGCTTGGCTAAACCAAAGTCCTCTGCCCTGTTGGACTGATTAGTAGCCATCCCCAGAAGCAGATGCGTTTGTATCGTCACAGGTAATTAACCCTGTGGGCGGTGATAGATCGCAGATCACATGATAGTGCAATCTCACCAGATAATTGGGACTTGGTCAGCAGGAAACTCTGGAGCACCTATAGTGAAATCCTAAGGGAAAACTGGGACCACCTCCCAGCTGGCCAGACGCCGGTTGGCATTAAAGCCGCGTCAAACTGACGAGGTGTGCAGACCAAAGATCGGTAGATCTATATATCATGGAAATCGGTATTGTAGGCGAGCTCTTTCACATAGACCCAGAAGAAGTGCTGGAAGTAATACGTATGGGCTATTCCGAGCTACCCACCTGTGGTTAACAGGTAGCAAAAATAGGCAAGATGAAACGAGGAATGAATGGGGCCATTTTTTAATCATGACTGGAAGATAAATTATGTATAAACGTTTATCGCCAAGATGTGTCAGGGAAGCACAACGCGACCAACATAGCGGATGCAGCAGAAAGTGCTTCTGAAGATGAAGTGGCATGCAACTCCGACATTGTAGGTGAACTCTTCGAGAGAGTGACTCTAGCAGAGAAGTTGGCGGAGCACTCCGACTTTTCGGGCACAATGGCGGAAAGGGAAGAGGAAGATATCTAACTCTTGGAGTGAATTTAACGACTGGTAATGCCCATTTAATGTGTACAGTCACAGACACTAAGCGCTCCTCATGGAGATGAAAAGTGCTACAGAGGCCAGTATTTGAGTATTGATGGAAAATTTTGTAAATACATATAATAATTCCTTAATACTTTCAAAATTCATTTTCATGTATTCTTCAATGGTTATCAACGACAACAGAAACATATACTTACTTATTTATACTTTTGTTAAGTGTCACCACCAGTCTCTGCGGTGGCGCGTTTTAAGTTAAAAGCTTATAAACATCAGATGTGGCATACACGTACATATATATATTTATGCATGGCATGCGTGGATATTGAAATATTTATATATTTTTTATTTTTCTTTTTAAAAGGACGCTTGCAGCTCGCATTGTTGTTGTTTACTTGCGAATACCACAAAAAGCAATCTACACGTGTTTTGCAAAATTAATTGTTATGATGGCTTTTGCCACAAACCTGTAACGTTAACACTGAACGTCCTTGCTTTTATGGCAAACGGGGTTGGGCATTGTGGTTATTTGCTGCACTGTTAATTTTGCATTTTTTATTAAAAAAAAAAAACCACAAAAAGTTTATACTTCGTAAATAAAAAGGTTACACGTTCTTGTCGAACGGGGAATTCTTCTAAAGATATTTTTGAATAAAAAATATACGAAAAATTATTAAATATTTGCCGATAATATTTTTACTGAGTGTTGCCCGGCCACAAACATGGGGCGAAATTTTTGGGTTGCCACTTTCTATTAACATTTTCTTAATATTTTCTTTAGTTCAGTTATTGAAACCTCATCTTGAAGAGGGAGAGCCCAGGCACGTTCGAAAAATAGCCACGTTTTCACATTTACTTATTTCTAAAGGAAAGTGCTTTTGAAGAGCTAAAAGCATGAAGCCGGCCAATCTAGCTCCTTATCTTCCATAATAATCCTTCCATTTCGAAGGACACCTTCACCACTTTAGGTGAAAGAACAAATTTTTGAATATCGTTGCCACATGTCTAACATTTTAGTGAATTAAATTTGTATCTTAAGTAATATATTGCAATGCGTTTAGGGAATGAATTGAAGAGATTTGCGTTTTATCTAAAAATTTAAATCTATATATACACATATATAAAACAGGACGGCATGTCTTCATTACCAGTTTGAGAAGCCGTTGAGGGTGTAGATGGATCCGTTTCACCTTCATCACCAAAAACTTACAAAATATTTGGTACAAAATCTGCGTCTTCCAAACTGTGATCATAAAAAGCATTTACCCCATTTTCCTCATTTTCACTTTCTTTACTATCTTCTACTCCAAAAAATATTGCGCAAAATTTCATGGATTTGAGCGGCTTAGTTATGTGGCAAATACTTTATTTTCTCTATGAGATAGAACTAAAACGACAAGTCAAACAGTTACTAAATTTGATTAAATTTTATTCTTGAAGTTCACTTTGTTTTATGTATATACATATACAAAATTTTTCGTTTCAAAGAAACATAGCTAATTGATGTAAAAGAGAAATAGATTTTTTTTTTGTCGTCTAACAATTTATTTCAATGCTTTCCAATGTCAACCCGAAATCGGAGCAATGGGATTTTTGTAAACTAAATGCTAAATGCACACGCGGCTGCTGGATTGTTCAAGTAGGTGAATATGTATGTAAAATACATATATACCTATGTATGTATATATAGAGTATAGGTCAGCGACAAAGGTCCACAACTGAAGGCATTTGCGGCTAGAATTTTGAACATCATTAAAATGCCAGCCGCAAGCTGTGATTTCCGCCATTGGCACAGTAAGCCCAAGCCAAATTGTAGTTGGTATACAAATCTATGTATTTAAATCCTCTAGGCAATTTCACGTGAACGAGCAAATATTTGTGTAGTCATCCATTTACATTTACATATACAGACATGCATACTAACTTACATACCGAGTTCCCATGCAAATGTAGTTTCATACGATATAGGAATGGCATACTTCAGCCTTCAGCTGCTATAGTAATCCAAGGTTACCCACCCACCCACTCACCAAACTTAGGTTGTCATTTCACCCACCTCATCTAATAATCTTGCAGCAACATTACACGATTATGCCTACCACTAGCTCCATTGGGTCACGTGATATTGCTAAATACGAAATGGTCATCCAAAACCGAATTCTTGTGGTCATAGTATGTTTGAAAACGGAAATTTGCTCTAATTTTCAAAGTGCTTGCAAGCATACGACTTTCATTAACATTCAAATGTATAAGTGTATACATACATACATATGTATGTATGTACATGGAAATACGTAAAAACGATTGTGTGTTCAAGGAGGGGAGGTCGGATTTACATGTTTTGGTATATGTTTGAAAGTCGATTTTGCATTAAACGAAAACTCATTTAAATGTTTCACATATACACACACACACACACATTTTCTCGATCGATCAAGTAGCCAGCTGTCAGTTGGACAGTCAGTTATTTGGTTTTGTTGGTCACTGGGTTGACACACACAGACGTACTTACATACATACATATGTATGTATTACCATGCAGGAATTCAGACTCATCCTAGGTTAGCCCTCAGAGAGTCCGTATTGTTACCAGCACTAGTCTCTCATAATTCCCCTGCCAATGGTTTCAGCAGCCATTTTTTGCATTGGCGTGTCATTGGAAAAGGACCGGTCCACTCAACACTGGCCGTAAGATAGTCCTGGACTAGTCCAATTTTGGAGATTTTTTTTCGTTGGTGTACGATTGCGTTCTGCACTTCGCGGATGCTTTTTCATATTTGGAAACACCAAAAAAAAAAATTATTTTATCATTTTATAACCATGTTGCCTCGGATGGCATTTGAACCCGGACCCTCCTGAAAGCTAATCAATAGTGGCAAGCATCTCTACGCACTGAGCTACAGCCACGCATGTAGGGTAGAAGGGGGAGGCTTCGACATGAGGGAGGCTTCGACTTTTTCAAATCTGGCAGTCGTTATTACTGCCGTTGTTCTCATTCCTAGAACAAACAGTTACCAAATTGACTGTGATGCTGTCATGAAAACTATTCAGTGCTTGTTGGCAGACGATAGTGTGCAGACGTATTTTTTATTTTTGAAGTGTGTTCATGTAAAAATTGTATGTAAGTATTCTTGTGTAAAGTGTGCAATCTATAACGTATTCGTTCCGTTTTTTCCCCATTAATATTTTAATAAAATTGTGTTTTGTTGGTTCTAAAGATATTTCAAGTAACAATAAGATGTATTTCTTTAAAGAGAAAAATTTGGCATAAGTGCAAAAGGGAGGATCCGACAACCTCTTTTGGGAGGTTTCGACAAATTGTCGAAGCCTCCCTTCTGTTCTTTTTCACTTAGCAAGCAATATTTTACAGCTATCAAGATGCCAAATATTTATAAAAAAAAGTTTCCGGAGAAAATCATCGACGAAGATAATATGAAAAAAGCCATCGAGGACATAAAACAAAAGAAAGAAACACCAACAAGCGCTGCTCGAAAATATGGCTTGAAGCGTACAACACTATTATCTCGAATTGCAAAAGAGCAAACAAATGTGGGAACTGCTAAATATTTCCAGTCGAAGTTTTCTTCGAACCAAGTACTTACAGCTACGCAAGAAAAGGAATTAACGCTTTACTTCAAAAAGTGTTCAAATCTACATCATGGATTGACGTATGACTTGGCTAGACGGTTCGTTTTCGAGTTTGTTTCTACATACAAAATAAAACATCCACCAAGTTGGGACAAAGAAAAACAAGCTGGAATTGATTGGCTAAAATGTTTTATGCATCGAAATAAAGAAATTAGTCTACGCAAACCTGAAAACACTAGCATATCACGCATTTTTGGATTTTCTAACCAAGCTGTTTCTTTATTTTTTTCAAACCTGAAAAAGGTATACGAATTACACCACTTTCCCTCTGAGCGAATATACAACATAGATGAGACTGGAATAAGTACGGTGTTGGATTCTCCAAAAGTAAGCCTTGTTCCGATTTGTTGTTGCAAATAAACTTCATGTAAGTATATACAAATTTACAGGTCATAGCTGAAAAAGGAAAACGAACCGTTTCTCAAGCCGCATCCGCAGAGCGGGGAAGTTTAGTTACAATGGTAGGAATTGTTAACGCATCTGGAAATCACATTCCACCGATCTACGTTTTTCCTCGCAAGCGAATGAATCCAAATTTTCTTAACGGATCAGTACCAGGCTCAATAGCACTTCTAGCCAACAACGGATGGATGAACTCGGAGCTTTTTATAGATGTTCTTATCCATATTAGAAGTCACGCTCGTTGCACTATCGACGACCCCATACTACTTTTGATGGACAACCATGCTTCTCATTGCAGTCTAGATAGCGTCATTTACAGTCGCGATAACGGCATATGCTTATTGTCTTTCCCACCGCATACGTCACACAAACTTCAACCACTTGATGTATCGGTGTTTGGACCTTTCAAGAAATTTTGCAAACATTCCTTTAATGATTTTACAGTCAACAATCCAGGAAAGAAAATCGAGATTTCACTTATTGCAGAACTTACGAGGACTCCATTTTTACGAGCTTTTTCTCCAGATAATATTGTAAAAGGGTTTTCAGCTACTGGAATCCTTCCATATAATTCATTAATATTTCCTCAGTCTGATTTTTCCCAGTCCGAAATCGAAACAAACTCTGAGATTGCTATTGAAACTAACCAAAATCAAGCCGAAAGTTTTGAGAATATAATCCTACCATCTGAACCGAATTGTTTCTCTCCAGAGGTTATCCGTCCACTTCCAATAGTGAGGAAAAAGAGAACTATTACTAAAAATCAAGGCAAGTCAAGAATTTATACGGATTCTCCAGAAAAAGCACGCTTGGAGGAGTTGAAAGAACAAAGCATAAAAAAATTGAAGCTACCAAAAAAGCTAAAATTTTGTAAAAAAACAAAAACATTGCGAAAACTAAAAACTAAAAAACAACGAAAGATAAGTTCCTCATCATCAAGTGAAAACGGTTCTTATAGCCTGGCTGATTCTGATAAATCATATGACTTTGGTGAGGTTGAAGAGCACAACAATGAGCAACCAGAATTGGAGGTTACTGACGGAATTCATGTTCAGAACGAAGAGCACGAGAATGAGCAACCAGCGTTGGAGGTTACCAACGGAATGCATATTGAGGAAAATAGATTTGTGCTAGTTAAATTTACTGACAAAACCGATTTCTTTTACATTGGTGTAGTCGTAGAAGTTGAAAGTACTACGTGCGTCGTGAAATTTCTCAGGCGCCAAAGTAAAACTCAATATTTCTATGAACCAATTGTTGAAGATACAAACCTGGTTTCAAAGCAGGACATATTACGTATATTGCCCACACCTGAACATCCACCAGGAACTTCACGCGCGCAAAGCAAATTTGTTTTTAACTTCGACTTCTCAAATTTAGATGTTCGTTAAAAGTAAAGTTATACTTCATTTTTATGCTTAAGTTGTTTATGTTTTTGTTCGAAAAAATTGTTATTGTATTGAAATAAATAACATTTATGAATTGAAAATCGTATTCAGAGTTTTTTCCAACGAAGTCTTTTTCTATTTTGCATGTTTAACTGCCATGTTTGATAAATGTCGAAACCTCCCACCCAATGTCAAAGCCACCCAGATGATTGGCGAAGCCTCCCGGAAAATGGGAGGTTTCGTCACATATTTTGTTCCTAATTATTTGATTAGAACTTTGAAATAAAATTAAGTAGTACATTAACGACCAATCTGAAGTGTCACAAACATACATGGCATCAGTAATTGTGAAAGGAGATGTTTGTTTCTTATTCTACTTTCTCTAAAAAAAACATTTTATCTTAACCTGTCGAAGCCTCCCCCTTCTACCCTACATAAATGTGTGTTCAAATGTTCACTTTGCATCAAGGCCAGACCAAGCGATTGGGACATTTACAGGGTAGTGTTCTTTAAATTTTTTTATTGAATAGCAAGACAATACCACTCTGTCACTGCCAAGCTGCACTCTTCGTTTATCTCTAAACCGATTTTTTTGGGGACTGGTCCAAAGCTGACATTTTCGTTGCAAGCAAATTTCCAATTCTGACCAGTCAAATTTTAACCAGTGAAGTACTGGTCATTTACGGAAAATTTGCCGCCCTATTACTACAGGGTAGGTTCCATCAGTTAGTTTATTTGGACTTGGAGTCATTCAATTGACAAGCCAGTCATCAATGTTGCATATCCGACATTACTCAATGCAATTGTATGTACACTGAGGGAAAAAAATATTAAAATCAAATAGAAACGTAATTGATCTTACTATAAACGTCAACGAAAGTACTGTATATTGGTAAATATTCAATTCAATTACGCGCATATTAAAATGACCGCGTTCATACTGAAAAAGCATCCGCGAAGTGAATAATCAAAACAAAAACTACAAAAAAAAAACTCATTTGCATGTTGCCTGCAGTGGAATTCGAACCCGACCATCTCCGGATATCAACAACTTGTGGCAAGCATCTTTGCGCACTCAGCTAAACCCAGACATATAAATTTGCTTTCAAATGTTGAATATCCATCAACACCACAGCACGCGATTTGTACTATGTATGTATGTGTTTATTGTCGCCGCTCTCAGAGCGGCGCTCTGCATGCTTGGGGTGCTTATGTACACTTACATATACATACTCAGATGTGATCAATCAAATACGTGCGTAATAAATTTTGTATGAAAATATTATTTTTAAATACGAACATTTTTAAACGATAATTAAATATAAAGTATTCATTTTTACTATGCATTATTTCCCTCAGTGTAGTAGGTAGTAGGTTTCGGATGGTTTCTTGTTAAGTGAGCTGAGGAGAGAAATTATATCAATCATTCATGCAACTTACAAATGCTGCTGCGTATGCTTCAGAACGTCAATTTATACCTTGAATTTATGTTTGAGTTAACAATTAATGTTATATACTATTTTGTGTTATAAATAGTTGACTAAATAATACCCAGGTGTCTATTCATACAGATATTAGATTTTCAAGTTTATTGCATAAAATTCATACATGTTTTATAATAATTAAGTAGAAAGGAATAAACAGTAAAATACAGAGGCAGGTATGTATATTTGTGCTGAATGCATACCTATTACACCGTGCGACAAAATCAAAATAATAAAATTCAAAAGGCTTGAAAGGTTCGATATACTCACGAAACTATGGACCAAATATAGCAAAACTGCGTTTATAGTTTTTCTCTCTGAGGTCAGGATTTTTTTCAAAGGCCCTTGAAATTTTAAAGATATGATTAATTCAAAAAATTATTTTTAAAAATCAGTGCAACGAAATTCGATGATGAGGTCGTGCGTATATTAGTCCTCAAACAATAATAAAAAAAAAAAAATGCAAAATTTTGTATTTCTTTTCTATGATACCCTTATTGTTATCCTACATTGCACCGAACTTTTTAAATAATTTTTTGAAATAATCATATCTTTTTAAAATTCCAAAGTCCTTTAAAAAACAATCCTGACGTCAGAGAGAAAAATTAAGTACGCAGTTAATTTTTGTGTGTGTAAAATTTACTGTCGCACGGTGTTATACGTATGTTTAATCAATTTCAGACTAATAAATCATAGAACTAGCAAAACTAATTGAATTTGGCACAGTTATGCCTTTGATTACATTGCAACCAAACTATCATTGTTAATACAGAATCACGAGGAAATTCGAGGTCGCCTGCTTTTTCAACAAACTTAGGGTACACATTTGCAAGAACCCACAGTCTTTTGGCATCATTGAAAGACAGGCTGCCGCTCTCAGAAAAAAACCAACCAGATTTTGTTGAGTGTCTCAATATTTGTTTTTCAAAAAGCGTCAAGAGCTTAGTGTGCTGATGTAAATACAACTAGTCTGAGTGCTGATATAAGTAAATAAAGAGTAGATAATAATAAAATGATTGAAATGCCTCTTTCGAGAAGAACGTTTAAGGAGGTATTATAAAAGAACGAGGACACAATATTTATCTCCAAAAATTTTGCAATATTTCGACCCGTATCCGATTAAATTTTTCGAGCACCCCAAAAACGAGAACTGCTAAACGGTCCACACTGGATCGCAGTGAATCACCATAAGCTCGTTGGCACTTAACCATTTCATAGATACCCTAGATCATAGCTGGGCACACCAACACAGTCTCATTTTGTCATCGTATTAGTGCGTCGCGCTCAGTTATGGTTGCCGCATTTTTTATAAATGTACTAAAAGTGGTATTTTTCGTGCATGGGTATTTTGGCCTATTTTGCTTATACCTATAGTGTAATAATGAACCTTGGAAGTTTTTAGTAACTAATACTATTAGTTTATACAACCTTTTGCATAAGAAAAATTTAGTACTTGTATAATTTAAAAAAACTTAAATTAGGTAAACTCATTTGTATAATACCTGGGCTCCGTTTTATTAGAACAAATTCTTTTATATGCTGACCGACCAGAGGTTACGGTGTTTAGGTCTTATTTTTTAACCGACTTCCAAAAAAGGAGGAGGTTATCAGTTCGTCGGAATCTTTTTTTTTTTTTTTTTTATGTATGTTACCGCATAAGTTTGGACCACGTCAACCGATTTCGATAATTCTTTTTGCATCGGAAAGGTAGTGTCTCAGAGGTGGTCCCATACTAATCTGGTTAAGATCCGATCAGTGGATCGTGAGATATATATATATATATTTTTTTTTTTATATGAGAGTTTAAGTCGGTTTTTTTCTTGCTAAAAATTACTTGTTTTATATAAGTAGGTATTTAGTCTTAAAAATAGAGTATAACTTATAAATATTATTCATTAAGTATTTTTGGGCATAAACCAGCATTTACATTTCTCTATCGATTTCTTTTGATAAAAAAAATATTATAAAATAAAGTATGCAATGTGTGCCCTAGTGCGTCGCGCTGAGAAGCACTTTTCTATAATTGCACTGAGTGGAGCGTTTTTTTCATTTGTTTATGGTTAATGGTCGTATTACCACACAACAAGCATTGGGCATTATTAGCTTTTTTTAAAACCAAAATCTGTAATTGGCACTCATAGTCGGACATTTTGGGCATTGTTACATATATAGTGGCAACCACGCGCTAAAATTACGAATAAAAATATTCAACGGCGAAGCATAGTGTTACTCTCATGAAATCTGAAAGCAGACTGAATTGAAATTCGCTGCGTCGTTTCTGTATACGTATAAGCGCTGCGACGCAGACGCTACTCGCGAGTAGCGTTTTGCCCAGCTATGCCCTAGATACATTATACGATCTTGAGCAGAGCAGTATGAATTAAAAATATACTGTCGGCAGAAATCTCTAAAGCTTCTCCGCGACTGGGGTCACTCCAAGATTTGCTTGCCCAACTACAGGCTAAGTAAGTGCCTCTCCTGGCATTTACTCAAGGCTAACAAAAAAAAAAACACTGTAACGGGTCTAGTACTAAATCACTTGTTTTCCGCCTTTTAAAAACCACCCGGACTCGCTCACAATGGGAATGTTTCCCTATTCTCTGCTAACTAGATTCTGCCACGGCAAGCATCAACGAATTGAGCCGCAACCCAGGCGCCAGTCCGCAAAACCATGGGGTCTAAGTGCCGGCGTTGTTTGTGCCCGATCAGCTGTCGCCAGCCCATTAATTTTAAATACGAATTGAGTCGCCACCACAAACCATGGCGCACACAAACAAGCCATGGACTTTCCCATTGCCATCATACGGCGGACAACAAAAGTGCCGCGATAAGAGAAAAGGTGACACGCCTATTGTGGTTTTTCGCTGCATCTCTTCGTCCTATCTTCCTTACTTTTGGTCGATATCGCGGTCTTGAAGGTAAATAGTTGTGGACGGCGTAATCCAGAATCCAGTTCAAGTAAGAGTGGAAAGAGATTACCTCCCATACACTTTCCAAGCAAGGAAAATTGGGGAGCCGGCCTACTGTCGGTAAATAATTGTATTTCCATTTACACTGATGGCTCAAAGATAAAAAAGGAGTCTGTAAGGGTCTGTACTCCAAGGAAATTTAAATAAGATATTTATGTCGGCTGCAGTGTCTGTCAGGCGGAGATATTTTCCGTAGATAAGGCCGACTTGTCTCATATGGTAGAGTTAGTCTCTGTAAGGGAATATTACTATATTCGTTGTCAGCCAGGCGGAACTAAAACCATTAGGCTCCAAGGAAATAAAGTCGAGACTAGTCATGCCAAAACCCATTATCCGCTGGGCGCCTGGAGGTAGCACTGATACTATAAGATATCAATATACTTATGGACGACACTCGATAAGAGTCGTACTGAAGAATTATTGAAGCTAACCAAATTTGCAGTAAGGGCTCTTACCGGCCTCATCATAGAGCACTGTTCCATAGCACCAATGCTTCATCGATGGCGTATACCTTCAATCTCCCTCTGCAGAACTTGTCGAGATGAGGAAGAAGAGGCGATTCCTTCACCACTTCTTATGTCAATACCCAGTTCCCCTGACAAGACGTCACAAGCATTTGGGATCACGCTTTTTATATAGTTTGGTAGAGATAGCGGAGGTGTAAATATCGGAGCTCCGCAGCTCCATTCGGGATAATAAAGGGGTTAGCAGACTCTTTGCTGGAATTATTTAATAACTTCGGTTAGAAGGGGGCATTCAAAAGGGATAAATTTGCCTCCGAGTGGAAGTATGTAACACTACTCAATCGAATGTTACTTTTTCGTAGAAATAAAAGTTCAAAGGTCATTCAGGTAAAGTAATGTT